GGGGCTCCGCGAGGCCTTTCTCCGGGAGCGTGTGTTGTGCGGCCGTTGCCTGACAACGGCGCCGTGCTCCTTAAAGGGGCCGAGCCCCGGGTGCCGCCGCCCCTTCGGGTGGGCGGCAGCGCTGCACCCCTGGCCCGGGGGAGGGGGCGTGTCGATGCCTCCAGGACTGCCTGAGAAGGGAAGGAGGGAGGTGAGGCGGGCGCTGTAGGCCGGGGCTAGGGGAGAGGCGCTTCCCCGAGCTGCCCCGCTGGGAGAAGTAAACTTCATCTCCTGGCTCTTAAGGTTTGTTTTCCGAAATCGATGTATTTTTGGATCAGAGTAGGTGTTCTGGAAAAGTAGATAAGCCCTTATGGGGAGCGGGAGTAACGCCCGAAACTTGTTGGTTCGTTGTTTTAAGAGTTAATTGCCTTCACAGTTACAAAAAAAAAGTCGTGTTGGCTTAGTCGGAGTTTATAAATTGTGAGCGTCCAGACCCTGGATTTTTTTTGTGCTTTTTCAGATTAGAATTTGAAAGAAACGAAGGTGAAAGGTACGGGAAGCATGTCTGATAGCAAGAGTTTCTCTCTGCTCTTCACAGGGGCAGAGAAGCAGCCAGGACTGGCTGTTCTGAGAGCTTAGGAAGTTTGAATGGAACTTTGAAACATATTTCTTAATGACACAATTATGTGACCGTATATTCGGTAAGTACAATTACTAAGCATGGCATATAGTTGCTTTTTTAAAGCACTTCCCTCCTTGCTACCTTTTCTGCTGTTCATATGGATGGAAACTGCCATTTTGCTAGTTTTCTTGATGTTATTTTAATATTATGGTAGCACAGAAGAGATGAAGCCTGTCTGCTTTCACATACTGATTTCAATTTTTTTCCCCAGTTTTCCTGAGCAAATAGGAGGGGACGGGAAAGAATGAAAAGGAGTGCATTAAACGCTGCTTTACAGAATAAAGTAGATACACAATGCACAGCTAGATGTAGTACATATGATACAGTACATATGCACACAGATGTTTTGAATATGTTGAATAGAGAGACATGCATTATTAAATCTGGGCATATATTCAATAAAAATCTCGTGTTCAAATTTGACATACTGTCTTGAATATCTGTATGCTTTCTCCTGCCTGGTATATCTGCTTAAATTGAGGTCTGCCTAGCTGATTCCGTAATTATTCATAGTTCCTTTGGCAAAAACTTCCTGTTTAAAAGGAAGAAAAGATTATGAAAAACTAAAATCTTACTGAAAGTAGAAATATATGGGATATTTTCAGACAGCAGTTGAGTGTGTAGCAGCGATATGTTTAATGGAATTTCACTTTGACTAATACAATGTTTTGGAAGTGTGAATGCATCCAAGATTTAAAGATGCAAGAATTAAAGGAAGAGCTGATATATCTGTGCTATCAAACATTTTCTTTAAATAGTTATTTACAAAATACTCTGTTTTTCCAAAAAACATGAAAAATGTGTTGTTTGCACCTCATACTTCTTGAGACGTATGGTTTATCCTTGGGTTTTCAGATATTTACAGCATGTTCTGACTTTCCTTTTTGCTTTATGCATATGCCCACAGAGCAACATCTCCAAGCTTAGTTTTGAATCTACCGCTTTCATTGCTAATGACAAGGCTCTGGAAATGTACTAAATGCATTCAACACATTGCTGAACTGAAAATAGATTATTTTGGTTTGAATTGAGGTGGTTTTATAGTGGCAGGCTTTACCTCAGTGCGTTTGTGCAGTCATGAAGTTTGAAGGGAGCTGTTTGCTGTGAGTTTAGTGCTGTCAACTCCGAGATAGTTCACTGTGTAACTGGGCACTGTGGTAGCACTCTCTTCAGATAGAAATGTATTGTTTCTATATTTTTATTGTGGTTGGTCATGATCTCCTCACTTTAGTAGATGATAAAATTGATTAATATTCAGTAAGATATTTGTTTACATACTGATGTGTTTTCTGAACTTAGTGTATGTCACATACAAATTGTCAGTCTTTTGCTTAGAATATGTAAGAATATTTGATTTTGATATTTCTCTTTCAGTATAATATACTCTTTTCACCTCATAAAGTTTGCACTCATGCATATTTTAAGAAGATCAACTCGGGCAGAAGGATGTAAGACATAAAATGTCTAGCTGTTTTATAAGAGGCATTTGGCCACTTTTCCTGGTTATTTCTCTGTATTAAAAGCATGCTAAATGAATGCTGCAGTAACATTAGTTGTCTTAGTGTTCTACCAGGCCTGGAGTTGTGAGCTTTCTTCATACCAATTGAATTGCCTGTGAAGTTCAGCTGTAACTGTTTTGTATTTGTTTTTTAATTTGTTATATTGCTCTTTTGAGCAATAAGGTAGGAGTGCAGAATGCTGGATTATTCATTGTGTTCCTCATACTAGATAGAAAATAGACTGCAAATATTCCTTTCCTTATAGCATCTCTCAGAATAGGTTTGGTACCATTGCAATACAGTGATTTGGAAACAGTTCTAGAGTTTATAAATGATATTGTAAACAGAGGTAAGAAACACAGATGTTACAGTCCGTGAGCTTTTGGAAAGGCTTCCCACAGTGTCGCCTCCTACGTGTGGTAATTTTCCTCTTGATGGCTATGCAGCACCGGATAGGTGATGACACTAACTTTTAAATTCTTTAGAAAGACAAGTTGTTTCAGCCATTCAGAACAGTATTTTCATTATTCTTATGTAACCTAATAAGCTAAATAAAATTTATCAATGCCTGGAAACTTGCTGTCTTTTAGATTTCTGTTATCCTTTATCAGTGTGCAAAACTAATGAGATTAAAGATTTAGGTCAAATCAGATGGGGGAACTTATTTTTGGAATTGATTGACCTGTATTAGCACTAGGAATTGTAAATAGGTTGTCCTAATTCTACCTCCTTTGTAACAGTAGTATAATTTTATATTATGAATCAAAAAATGGCATTAATGTAAGAGGAAAAAGCTTAAAGGAGTACATTTCAAGGACTATGCCAAGCAGATGTATTCCTTAAGTTAGCATGCAATTGCTTGAATTTATCTGATGGAATTTTGAGATTTTTTTCTTTTCTCTCTTTTTCTTACTTCTAGTAAGCATTTGTCTTAGTCTCTCTGGACACATTATTTTATGTTTACCTATGTAGTATCTTATTCCACTGGTCTTTGAGGTGATTTTTTGGTGTGGGTGGTTGTTTTTTTTTTTTTTAATTCTTTGATCCTCTTCCTTGAACGTGTTTTCTAGTACACTTTTATCATTGACCTGTTGTTTACTTCATACAATCTGTAGGCTTTAGAAAGATGCTGAATTAGCCTCCATAAAACTGCTGTACAGTCTGAATTTCGATACCAGATGCGATGAATTGCTTAGGAACCTGCATAAACAATCCTATTGCTTAAGTTGTGTGGGCAGTATTAGAGGGGTTGGAGGGTCATAATTTTTTTGTCAGTGTCATGCTTCCTTTAAGCACAGAACATAACATTTGGGGTTTTTATCTGTAGGCTTGGTTTTGTAAAACTCCAGTGGAGTTGGTGAAAGTGCTGAGTGGAGATTAGCATGAGTAGGCTTGTATGCAGTCATTCTTTTTGTTTTTGTCTTTCTTCTTGCTGTGGTTACTTAGTATGCAGCTTTGCAGTATTTTTAGTTCTAATAAGACTATCCTAACAAAGAATATTCAAAGTCTGAGTCTGTGCCTTAACTTCTGTACAGTACCATTGGCATGATCTTAATTTTTATTACGAGGTTATGTAGGAGCAGCAATATAGAATAAATTGCACAAAGAAGATGCTAAAATTTCTGCTCTGAAGGACTTTCAGTTAAATAGGCCAGATGCACAACTAATGGAAGGTAATCTGTTGCTCCTCAGTATGTGCTTTCTTACAGATGAGTGGCTTGTCTGATTGCAAGTCAATGCTGCCTGATCTCCACGATCTTACAATTATTATAGAATTGTAGCTGTTCTTGTTGCCTCTGCTGTTTTATTGGTACAGGAAGTTGTGATACATAGTTGGCTCCAGCTCCAGAAACACTATGCATATATTTTGTGTTTTGTGGAGGTTTTCATTTGGGTTTTGTTTGGTTATTTTGTTTGTTATTTTATGTGTCTTTTTTTTGTTTTGAATAAGCTTAATGATTTTTAAGACTTCTTGTGATAGTCAGTTAAGCACAGACTTGATTGTATGATTTGGTCCTTATTTTAGAGTAGACGTGTATTTTGTACTTTTAGTACTTTTTTTTGTCTAATAATTCCTTTATTCTGTTTGGTTTTTTAATGCTGTCTAATTTTGATTTTATAACTTACTAACAATAAGCTTGTGCTAGTGTGTAGTGAAGGGCCATTGGTAGACTTTCAGTTAAAAAAACCAACCCCAAACCACTTTAATCATGTTTGAAGATACTTCTCTAATCTTTTTTTCTGTCTTATAATCTGGAATCTTTGAATTTTCTCTCTGGTGAAACATCAAGTAATCTCCTCCATGGATGGGTTTCCCAAGTCAAGTGTTTTGTTGACCCTGCAAACATCTTAAGGCTTGTAGTTCTGAGGGAGAAATTTGAATATTACTTAACTACTGTCTTAAGCAACTGTACTTGAGCGTTAAACTTTTGAGGTTCTGATGTAGAGATGTTCTTTGTCTTTTCTGTAACCTTAGAAATGATGGCGGATGATTTAGACAAATTTATTGAAGATCAGAAGGCCAGGTTGGCACAAGATAAGGCAGAACTTGAAGATGATCCCCCTTACATGGAAATGAGGGTAAGAGTATCAAATAGTTTTCCTGAATTTAAACACTTCTGTTGCCAGGATCTTGATTTAAACTTGCTTTTGCTGTGCTCTTAAACCTGTGTTCGTTATTAAAGTATATAGATATATATATAAAGATTTATCTATTCAAAGTAATTTCTAACTTAAATACTTTGTGTCTGTATTTATATAGATTTTTAAAGATTTGTTTGCCGCCAAGCATACGCAGTAATGTATTTTACAAGTGTTTTCCCACTTGTAAATGGTTATCATTGTTCCTTACCCCCTCCCTAGGGAAGCTGCCTAGCAGCTATCTGCTCTCTGCCTACTCCAGAGCATGGGTGTTGGGGTGGGAATGAAAGGCATAAATATCCTCAATTTCTGTTACGGAAACTAGGAAATATAAAAGGCAAATCACTCAATCCAATCAGTTAAACAAAATCTGTTCTTATTGCAATTTTCCTATTAGCAATTTTGGTACCTAATGCTAAAGCTATAAAGATTTTATAATTTGCAGATCACCGTTGTTTAACATTGCCAGTACCTGGCAGAAAGCTGTATCTGAATAACTCAAGCTAGCTAAGTGTTATGGTAACTAAATAAAGTCCCCAGTTAAAAAAAAGTTTTGATTTGTCTGGTTTTTGACTTACAAAGCCCCAAACAGCTTGAGCTTTTAACAGCAATTATAATATTGAGTTTTCACTCCCTTTTTTGTTTCATCAGAAGGTTATGGGAATTCATCTTTCCCCTTCTGTGGGTGATATAAGTATTTTTACCTAGTTACAGTCATTCTCTCCAGAAAATTTCATTAGTTCACTCTAGAAAGTTAATTCTTGAGGAGCTGTGAGGAGTTTGGCTTCCTTTCTTTTTGCCTCCTCTGCTGAAAGCGAGCTTGAAGAGGAGGAGAATGGTTCCAGCCTATAGTTGGATAAAGCCCTAAGCTGTATGGTGAAAGGGTAGTCACAGGGAACAGATGTGTTAAACTTGCCTTGTAATACCACCCTGTGATTCTTTCATTGTTTCAAGCAGGGTGCAGTATGTCAAATCAGCCCCCATAAAAAAACAGAGAGGATATGTGTAAACTATGAAACAATTGTGGATTATGTCATAAATCACAATATATATTGTCAACATATTTCATGGCATGAAATATATTGACTATGTTGAAATATATTGAACTAATAATTCCTGTATTGTAGAGGAGAACTACTTTTTTGGTAGTATTAGTGAAATGTATAACTTGCTTAGTGTGTTAGTCCAGCATTACTTTCAATCTCTCTGTTCTCCAGTGCTAATGATTATGTTAATAATGTTGTTCTTCTATGTGATATTTCTTTTACCTTGTGATGCAGCAAGGCTTTTTGTTTTGTTTTCAGAATACGGAGTCGGAGAAGTTTTCTGAGAAGAGCAAAATGTTAATCTCCATGGCTAAAGAAAATATACCTCCAAATAGTCAACAGAACTATCCTTTAGGTATAGTATATTTTTAAAAAATGTCTTCTAGATTTAAGTAGCATTTAATTACCTTTGAAAGTTTTTGGAAGGGAATTACTGCTTTGGATTTTTAATTATAAGATTATCATTATAATTCAAATGCATACCAATTTGTTTTCCAAACATCTTGGGATTGTGTGGAATTTTTTTTTTGTAGTTATGCTTTTTTTTTGAGCAAGGAGAATATGCGATGCACTTTCTTCTTGTAAAGGTAGCTCCTTTAAAAACAAACCAGCAAACAAATCCCCCAAACAAACAAAACCCAAAGCCAAAAAAAACAAACCAAAAAGCTGCTTGCCAGTCCTTGATAGATGATCTGTCCTTTCCTCTTGTATTTGAGTGGAGCAAAAGCTTTGGAAGTCCATCTTTCATTGATGGTTGTTGATGCTATTGGCTGGTTCTGCTTTAAAGCACTGTAATTCCCTTTGGATTAAATTAGACAGGGACTTGATCCTTGGTAGCTGCTAAGTATGTTCCGTAGTTCTAGCAGTAGTGTTGAAAATCAGGCTGAGTGAAGTTACAGTTAGTTCTCAACATATTACATGCATGCAAACTTCTATGTAAAAATGCATTTAAAATATGTTTTTCCAAATAAATAAATAAATAAGAGAAGTTTTCAATGTGATTGTGTGTAATTAACAGAATGTGAAATGGAGAAGCAGCTCCCATGCAGATTTTGGTTAGTAGTTGAACTCAGCAAGCTGTTTCAAAATAGCATATGACATATATAACCTGGTATTAGGTCCTTTGGTTCTACAGAACGGCAGGCTGACTCCTCTCTTGGCTCATGAGGGTATATTCTCACTTATCTGAAACTTCTCAAGCAAAGCCAGCTAAGTGTATTTTTACTAAGTATATTTCAACCTTTTATCTGTTTCAGTAGCAGAGTGATTCCCAAGTTAGCAATTTGCAGCATTTGTATGTCATTTTTACTGTACAGAAACCAATTAATGCCCTAAACATTTAAAATACTGGAGTCAAACAAAGTACCATGCAATACATTTGGACTGATGTAAATCTTGAATATCCCTCTCTTCCCTCATACTCCTTGCTACTCATTTTACATAGACCACAAGATGTAGAAGGGCTTTCAGAGAAACAATAGGAAACAAAGAAACGGAAACAATTGCAATCTGTGTCCCTTGTTGTGTGGTTTTGTGGAATTCACTAGTTCTCTGTGGAGAGTGGTGAAAGTGGCTGCAGAGGTGGGCTTCTGGGGTGGAGGATATATCTTATGAAGTACTTTAAAATGTATTTTGGGAACAACAAACAGCTTGCATAGAATTGTATTCTAAGAGTGCAGTTGTTATGAGACCTGACAGTAATCTTGGAAAAGTACTATATGTGTGTGTTGGGTCTACTACAATTAAAAACACTGAGGTGGAAAGAAAAAATTGTTATTGTATGGGCAGATTCCTTCTAGTTGTGTCGAAGCCAAAATATTTTTCACGTGCTTCATGCTAAACATAGGTTGTTGCTTTGTAGTTGGGAGGTATGTTTTCTCTTGTGTGATAAGCGCAGCTTAAAGTATCAGAGTAATTTAGAAACTAACATGTCAAAGGAAATTTCCTTTGGAACATACATTGTCAAAAGAAGTATTTACAACGTTTATGTTATTTTATACTATTGGTCAAACAGTCCAAATAAATTCAGTTTATGTTGCATTTTTTTTCTAGCGGGGGAGAAAAAGCACAAGGACTAGAGGAAGACTAACATCCAAAACCCATCCATTTTTCTGTGCTTTCCACCCAACTACTCAGACAGAGAGGGTTTTTATTTCAGCTGTTTTGTAATTACTGGTTGCATAGTCGTTGGGTTTTTTTCTTGCTGATGTCTAATGAAAATCCAGATGTAGCTTTTGCAGGATGTGCTTTATATTGATACAAAATAGTAGAATAATAATATTTAATGGTGTTAAACTTTCAGGTGGTTATGGCTTGAGTTTACCTCTTGGAGAAGAATATGAACGAAAAAAGCATAAACTCAAAGAGGAGCTTCGACAAGATTATAGGCGATATCTTTCTCAGGTGAATCTTCTTGTCTGGCTGCCAGAGTTTAGTGAGTCTTTTAAAGTGCCTCTTGTTTTGATTGAATGAAAATTAATAAAATCTGTGGAAAATCTTTATAAGATTATAAAGCCATCGCATTATGAGTGATGACTGATTTCAAAGACTGGGGTAAAAGTAATTTCAAAATGTCACTGCTAGGAAGGGTTATATATTTTAGGCTTCTACAGATTTCTTTGCCGTGAGAGTAATATTACTTAGTACATTTTATTTTGAATACTTTTATTTATTTGTCTCTACTTCTTTCTTAGTTTCTTCTTAAGAATTTAAAGTATGATCTGTTACTTCCTTAAGTACTTATATATTCTGAGGTCTATAATTCGGGTGAGAATATTCCTGTAATTAGCGTGACTTTATTGGACAGCTTCTTTTCAACATTAGAAATAAAAAAACCTTTGATGTTCTGTTAAGCATGACTTATTAAATGTGACAGTAAATTTAAAATTAAAATGGTATGTATGAAATGTCATAATCTTGGGAATGTCTTCTTAGTCAAACAGGAAAAAAAAATCACGAACCAAATAATTGCTGTGGTCTGAAAATGCTACTTGTTATTGTCTTTAGTTCTTAAAATGGAAGAATGGATTGGCTGTAAGAAAAGCAGTCCTTTTTTGTGAAGTCAAATATTTTTGAATGAAAGACTCTCTTTGAATAGTATCTTTTCCCTGACTTTTAGGGTATTTCACAGGCAAAAAGAAAGGTAGGGTGCCTGCAATATAATTTTTTTTTTCTTCAAATTAGTTGCTTTTTGCTTTGTTTGAAAGCTTTGTGCTCTTTGAATTTTAAAAAAAATCATTACTTTTTTGTGCTGTGTGTTTGTGCATGCTGTAGTGATTAGTTGTGATTAACAATATTGCTTTGTGCAAAATGATTGCTTATATTTATTATTTTCCATCAATAAGATTTTAAAACACTTGTTGATTTCTTTTCCTTTGCAATTGCTATTGTTGCTGTCTAATGCTGACTCTACGAAAATTTTACTTTTAGTAGACATTTGCTTCAAGTCTTACGAGTTACATAGATGGTATGAGTGCAGATTTTTTTCTTCATATACATACATTATAAAGCTGGAATAAAATTGTAAACTCTGCAGTATTATCATATGTCATTGAAATCAGAGTTGGGGCTTTTTTTCTTCCCTTTCACTGTGAAATCTCATCAGTGGTGCTTAGAAAAGCAGTAGTGCCAGTTATTTAGCACCTACTGGCCAGAGCGCATGAATACAAGTATTGTGAGGGGAAAAAAAAAAAAAAATCAGGGGCACATTTTTACAAGCTTTGTTCAATTACAGTAATTTTTAATTATTAATATCATTATACTGTCATGTATATATACTTCTCAAATTTAACGCTGTTCATCCAGGTTGTTCAAATTAAGCAACTTCAGTAGAGGACTGGGAGGTAATATGGTAGAAGCACACCCTTCTGTTCTTTGAGGCTTTCAATAACATGCATATGATACAAATTAACTATATTAGCATACACTAGAATTCCTGAAGAATGATTGCAACAGCAGAATTAATGGGCTTCTTAACCTCTAACCAAAATGATGCTTATATAATTGTTGCTTCTTGTTTAGTCTTAAACTTCAGATTATTTTCAAAGTTAGATTGTGTTAAAACTTAATGTTTCATAATTCTTGCTGAAGTACTCGAATGATTTAATTTGTACATTAACTGCTAGTTTTATTCTCAATTGAATTTCAGTTTTACAAATCTAGGTTTATGAGTGTTTGTTTTTTTTTTTAATGTAGTACATGTTAACTATGTTAAGCTTGTAAAGCCTGAGGAAGAGATAGGGTAACAATCTCTCATTTCTTTTCACCACATAAAAAGATAGTGCATCTTTTAGCAGCTCTCATAGCAATAATATTTTGGTTAATAACTTGTTCAGTCTCGCTTAGGTAGAGAATGCAGTTTCCATATCAGCTTCTGATTTTTGGCAAATACCTTTTTAAGATCAGAGATAACCTCTACAGATGTGTTCAAAGTGTGAAAAGGATTACTTAATCATGAGGATTACAATTTATTTACTTTTTCTAGTAAAAATATCTTGGTTCTCCATATTAATTTAGTTGTCTCAGTGCTTGAATATTTGCATGGTTGTTAAATACCTTAAATCTTTTAATGTGTAGTTGTGCAATATAATTGATAATGTTGTGGGTTTGTACTGGAACAGGTAGTGCTCTTACCTGTTGACGTGCCTCCAAGCTTTTAAGCTACATTGACATAGATAATGGAAGGAACCAATGCTAGTGAAATACTGTATCTAACCCATTCCCCTTATCACAAATAGATGATCTTTTTATTAAAGATAATTGGATTTATAAAATGTAGGTGATTGACTGAGAATGGCCTGGGGATGCTTTTAGTAAATGAATGATGTGTGAAGATGACATTAGACCTGGAAGCTAAGGAGCTGTTCCAGCATTGGTGTTTGATTTGAAACGCTGATACTTCAACTTGCTGCACTGCCCAGTTTCCAAGCGGTGGCCCAGGGACCAGTATGGAGCAACAACACAGTGCTTTCAGTGGAGAGCTCTGTTCTGAAAGTGACTGATGGTCTGTAAGGAATTACAAGAGTTGGTGATGGGTTATAATCCTGAAAAGTTCAGGGACTGCGGTTGAAGAAAACAGTAGTGTTGAGATGCAGAGTGTTAGCATGGATTCCTTCTGTTAAAATAAGAGGTAGACATACGTTTTCTGCAGTTAGAAAAAGCAATTTTTCATCTTAAATAAGGTAGTGTCTTGGAAAATTCCTCTTATGCTTGTGCGGATGTTTGTGCTTATGCTACTTGTTTACTGGAGAATTGAGCAATGGTGGAGTATTTTGAATAAAAATATTTTTTTTAATATACGGAGACTAACTTATGTAAACCTTGAAATAGTGTAACGGGGAAGAACCGTTCAAACTCAAGCTTAAAGCTTGACAAAGCCCATTACTTTCCGCATTCCTTGACTTCACTTTATTTATGTGTTCCAAGAACATCCTACATTTTCAAAACATGAAGGTTGTCCTCAGTCTCTATTTCATTACATTGATCAGATTTATTTCAGGAAATACAATTCCTAGAAACTATCTAGCAAGTAAGATTTGGTATTTTAAAATATACTGAATGAATTTTTTTTTTAATGTAGAAAAATTATCTGACTACTGGTGAAGTAGATCCATATACTCAGGGATTGTCTCTTCCTATTGATGAGAGAAGATCTGCCAAGGTAAATATCTGGCGGAAATTAAGTGGTGTGTAACTTAAAAATGAATCTGGATGTTTAAGCTGTTGTGTAAAAATTATTTCCTTAAGATTTTTTGTTTGGTTGGGTTTTTTTACACTGTTTACAAATAAAATTTTTGGAGGTGGTCATTAGAATGATTTCCAGAAAAGTAGTCTTTGAAGTTTGTTGTTGATACTAAATTTTTAATCCTAGGTTACCTGTAGTCTTAATTTTTAGATAATTAGATGTGTAATTCTATACTGACACTCATTTGAGGTTTGCTACTTCTGATTCATGCTTGGTGTGTTCAAAAGCTTCTAGTGGTTGTGCTTGGGTTTTGTTCAGCAATAAATAATTGATCTAATAAAGAACATTGGTTTTCCTATAATTATATATATATACACTTTTCTAATTTATTACTCTTATTACTGCAGCCTGGGGATAATTTTAAAAATATTTGATTGTAGTTGTTTCTACAGCGATATTCATCAGTTTGTCAGAACTAAAGGAAGTGTACTTTCTGCTGGATGCAATTTGGTTTGTCTTTGTGTATGCTTGACCTACCTGCTTATCCTCGTGTGATTTTTTTTTTTTTTTTTTTTTTTTTTTACAGCTAAATCCAGGAATCTAAATAAAAGCTGATCTGCTATTTCACGTATTGCCTGCTGTTAATATAGGAATCTTCCCAATTTCCAGTCTTTCTTTGAGAGTACAGATACTAATGTGTTTTGTGAAAGGCATACACATTCTTTCTCTGCATTTAGCCCCTTTGGTCTCCCTGAGTTTTCTTATCAGTTTATGGTCTTACTTTCATATGTTGGAGAAAGATACCAGCCATAACAGTCTCTGTACTCTTGGAGGTTCACAGAGGTTAGAATATGAAGGTGCAACATGCATTTGTGGATTTTCTTAACCTCTGATACATATTTCTGATGCATGGTACGATTCTGTGAAAACCTCAGTCAGGCTTACGGGGTCACCTCTCCTCCTGCCCTCACACTGTTGGCCTTATATTCCCAATTAGTTTCTTGTGTTTGCTTATGAATTGATCCAGGAAGTTGAATCAGCAGAAACATTGTAATTTAGCAAATATTCTTGCTGACTTAACAAACGCCACTGGTTGGTTGGTAGGATGGATCAAACCCCAGTGGAGATGCAAGGTAGAAAGAGAAATGGTGTTGCTGGAGGAGGACTGGACTGTTGCACTCTTGGAGTTTTTATTTGGTTTTGGTTTTTTAGCCTATGTTGCCTTGGAGTTGCATTGTTGCTCTGTGTATGGGCCTATGCTGTCACTGTAATCTGGCACAAGACTTCTGCGATGGAATGTCTTGGTCTTGGTCTTGCCCTTGCTTTGCTTACTTATGCTTTCTGCCTCTCTTCTGCTGCTGGTAATGTTTGGCTATATTTCATGAGGAACCAGGTGAGAACTCATAAGTGAAAATTGCTGTTATGAAAAAGCCCCAAGCTCTAGATTATACTAGTGTTAAAAAAAGGGAGGAAGCAAGAATGAAATGCCCAGTAAGGGGAGTGGACTTCTCAGAGACAGCATGCACTTGTGCTAACTTTGTTAGCTTCAAGTTCTCGTGGGCATTGCGTTAACCCTTGTGAGATGTGTGCTGAAACAGTGAAAGATAAAGTATCTTTCATTAATTCTGTGGAAATTAAAGACTTATCTGAACTGGGAACATGTCTAATCATTGATGGGTTTATATCATAGCAGCTCAAACTTAGCTGAGATTTTTCTGTACAAGTGCATTGTATCCTTTTTACTCATTTATTGCTATTGTGGAACCTAAAAGCTGCCAGAAGATGTCACACTGTGCCTTGCTAAACAGTTAGCCTCTGGACAGATAATGATTAGAGGTCAACATTTGCATTTTGCTTTCCTCTATTAGGGAAAATGTATGGCCACACAGCATATTGAATCTTCTGCTGAGTGTTTTGCTACCTGTTAAAGACAATGCTAGTTTTCTCAGCTTTGGAAAATATCCCTCAGGCAGCTTTCATAGCTGTCTGCAGGTTTTGTAACGTCACTGTCAGAAAAGCTGTAGACACAAATTCTGGAAAAAAACCTCACAATTTTGCGCAGCATTGGTCTCGTTTGCAAAACTATTACTAAGCTGGTATTTCTATGGTGATTGAGGTATAAGTTATTTTTGTTTGAAATTTGTTAATGGGAAAGTAAATATATATAACATTCAGATATTTCAATACCTTTTGGTTTTTTTTATTGGAAAATACTGCAGTGGCTAAAAGCATGATTTGTAATGTTTTGGTTTTTTTTTTTTTTCCCTTTATATAATGGTTGGAATGAGATACTATAAGAGATGCCCCATGCCTTAACCATAAGGTACTAATATCAGGAAATAATCAAATTGGAGTTTGCTTTTCCTGGAAACTTATGTATTTCATGTTATATTATTAGGCTATTGATGTACAATTCCTGCTTATTTTAGACCTGAGCAAGCTGGTTATAAATGTTGTCACCTTGCAAAAGCAGCTAGGACAAGGTGGATAGAGCATGTTTTTCTCGGTTTTCCTGGCATTCTTTGCGCTCTTGACTCATTTTGCTGTTGGCTTAACTGTGTGTTTGAATTTGACAGGTCAAGTTATATCCTAAGCTATAGCTGACACATCTTGTCCATACATGGGTTTGCTGTCTTCTTTTAATTATGAGTGGGGCAAGTCGCAACTAACCTTAATGTAAAAAAAATTGTACGTTTAAAAATCATCTGTAAATACATTCAGATTGGAGATTAGAAGGTGATTTCTAGTTGTCAGAGGAGTGAGACTTTGGAACAGATTTAGCAGGAGGAAATCTGACTGATTTTAAGATGGAACTGGATATACAGAAGTGTTACTGGGGACTGGACTGAATGCCCAAGAAGCTGACTTCTACTTGCAGATTTCAGATGAAGAGAAAGTAGTATGTTTGAGAGAGAACAAAAACCTCAAAGCAATTCAAGCCCTACTTGTACATCACAAAGAAGGGAGAGGGCAAACACACAGCTTGCATGTATTCATAGAAATGCAGTATGCAACGTTTCATTTTGAAGTTGAAAGCTACTCAGAAGTGCAAAATTATGATGCCCTTTTAAATGCCTGTTTTAGGAGAAACTACGGCTTGAAAGAAACAAGGATTACAATCAATATCTCAGAGATAAAGAAGAATGGAATGAAAGGCTGAGGAAATTAGGGAAGAAAAACACAGAGGTAATACAGTTTTACTGAAGCTGATACAAAGAAGAACATAAATAATCTTGTCAACTGTTTTATCATTGTCTAAGACATACAAAGTAAGACAAAATAAGCAGTGTTGCTCAGTTAGGCCACAGTTTTATTAATATATCTAGCAAGTCCTGGTTATAAGTGGTACGCTACAGTTCTTGATTCTTACTTCAGTCATGTCTCCCTGGTAGAAGGATGCTTTCATTCTTCTGTGTGTCTGAAGCAAGTCCGTGAATTGTTAACAGTGATAGAAGTGGTGGCAAAAAAAGCTGTCTCTTTGCACAAAATACTGAGCACCACACAGTGTTCCTTAGCTTTTATTTGTAGATGCTTTTTCCTCAGTTTGTGTCCAGTTCATGAGAAAGCAAGGCAAGTGCTGACAGTTGTCCAATATATGGTGCTGGGTATTTGCAAATCAAAAAAAAAAAAAGAGTCTTTGTTACTGAAAGGGAGCTAAACACATGCATAATTGAACTAAGATTCTGAGCTGAGGCCTCTGATTTCTATGGTGGTAGGCAGCTAAGCACCATGCAGCTGCTCACTTGCTCTCTGCCCCTCCCTGTGTGAAGGTGGGGGGCAGAATCAGAAAGGTGAAAGTGAGAGAACTTGTAGATTGAGTTAAAGACAATTTAATAGGTAAAGCAAAAGCTGCAGGCACAAGCAAAGCCAAACAAGGAATTCATTCACCACTTCCGATTGGCAGGCAGGTGTTCAGCCACCTCCAGGAAAGCAGGGGTCCGTCATGCGTAACGGTTACCTGGGAAGACAAGTGCCATAACCCTGAACATCCACACCCTTCCTTCTTCTTCGGCCAGCTTTATATGCCGAGTGTGTCACATAGTAAGGGATATGCTGTTGGTCAGCTGGGGTCAGCTGTCCTAGCTGTGTCCCCTCCCAGCTCCTTGTGCATCCGCAGCTTCCTTGCTGGGGGGTGAGGAGCAGAAAAGGCCTTGATGCTGTGTGAGCACTGCTAAGCTATAGCTGAAATATCTCTCTGTTATCAACACTGTTTTCATCACATAAAAACATGTACTATGGAGATATTTAACTCTATCCCAACCAATACCAGTATGACACTCAACAGGGGATTTTTAGATCTAACTGGCATTTTTGTGAGGCCTTTTGTTTCAGCGATTTGGAAACAATATATTGTTCTAAGAAAGCCTCTACTGCTTGTTAATTGTAAAATCTTGTGGAGACTGGGTAAATTCTCTTTTTAAAATATTGTTGCCTTAGTTTAGCGATGGATGCAATAGTTTGGAACTCTCATCTAATGCAGGTTTGTTTTAAGAAGGCCTTCCACTTTGAGTATGGAAGTTCTTAAGCATACAGTAGTGTGAGCACTAGGCCGTTCTATGAAGGGGCTTGTATTTGTACTCACAACAGCTGAAGTTTATTGTCTTTCTTACAGCAGTCAGCAAGTGCAAATACCCATGTATTTGTGAGTTCTATCTAGAAGAATGTTTCTTGTTTGTCTCCAGAAACATTGTTTTCTTATGAGAAGGATCTTTTCCTCCAAGTGTATTTGAGTGTGATAGAGTTGAAAACTGTTTTAATATCTGAAGACAGCTATAAGGCATGATTCAGGCATTGTTTACATGTTGGGATTCAATATCTGATTCTTCTTGACTTCTTCAAGAGTTGGACCACTACACAACAGTGATCCCTAGGAAATATGTGGCAAAAATGTGTTAGCTTGTGTTTGTGTAACTGAGTCTATAAATCTCTAAAGATTTTTCTACATACTTGGGCATTTATGTTTCCTCAGCTGACTTACCTAATCAAATCTATTTAGACAGTCAAGGGTTTTTTTCTTTCTGCTTTGTTTGTCATCTGGTTGGACCTTTACACTATATTTTTATTATTCTTGTGTAGAAACAATTTTGCTGTCATAAAAGAACAAACAGGAAAAAAACCTGATGAGGATTTGTTGAGGTTCTTTCATCTCTGAGGGATGTTTGACTTGCAGTGACAGTCAAATGAATGGGTCTCATGATTAACATATGTGACCTCAAAAGTTTGTTTTGATCCAATGATTTAGATAATCCTAGGCTAAACTTAAGGGACCTCTGGAAGTCATATAGTTTAATACCCTGCTCAGAGCAGGGTTAACTTCACAGTTGGATCAAGTTGGTCAGGCCTTATCTGGTTGAGTTTTGAAAGGATGGAGAACCCGCAGTTCCTCTGGGCAACCTGTTCCACTGCTTTAACTGCTTGATCTGAACTTCCTTACATCCATATCCCATTGGAATTTCCTTTGCTGCAACTTGTGACCATTGGTTCTTTGAAAACCATGATTCTGGCATCTCTGTATCTACCCGTTAGAGACTGCAATTACTAGTTCCTCCTGCCCCCATACATACCGTCCTTAACCTTCTTTTTCCAGGCTGAACAAACCCAGCTCTGTCAGCTTCTCCTTTACTGGATGGTCAAGTGCCTTAACCATCTCAGTAGCCATCCTCTGCACTTTCTCCAGTTCAGAGAAAGTGAAAGAATTCTCAGTATCCATGGGGAAAGGGTGAAACTGGGCACACTACACTAGAACCTGAATAATTAATAAATACTGAGTTCAGGAGAAGGGTCGTTTCCCTTGACCTGCTGATGACACTCTTGCTAATGCAGCCCAGGGGGTGGTTGGCTGTCATCACTGCCAGGGTGATGACACAAGGCCTTTTTCTGCAAAACTGCTTTCTGGACAGTCAGTGCCCAGCCTGTACTGGTGCATGGCATTACTCTGTCTCAGATGCAGAATTTTGCATTTAAATTTGTTGAATTTAGTGAGCTTTTTGTCAGCATATTTCTCCAGTTTGTCAAGACCCTTCTGAGTGGCAGTCATACTCTCTAGTATATTGATCCCTCTTCCCAGTTTGGTGTCATTTACATCTTTATTTTTCATTACATTTTGTAGAGAAGGAGTTACTGTTAGCCTCGTTCCACAGATGAAAGACTAGTGCACAAAAATACTACAGAATTTATCCAAAACCATGTGGTTTACTAGAACTGTGCATTGAACACTGGTCCAGTGTGTCATAGGGTAGTTAATCCACTACGCGAGCCTTTCTCATAGTGACATCTCCTGGGGAGCTAAGAACTAGATTAATAAATTGTCAGGTTAAAAGGTTGTGCTCATAGGTAAGAAGTATTACAGACTTGCCTGAATATGGATAGAATAAAGACATCTAGTCTCTTGATAAGGTATAAAGTTCAGTGTGTTTTGATTCTTTGCACCTCTGAACATCAAATTGGAGTTTTTAAAAGGCCCATCCAGGACTGATAGGTATTCTTCTGAAAAACATTAGATAACAGGAAGAGTGCTTTTTTTTTTTTTCCCTCAAGAAAAAGAAAATAATTCCTAGCTTTTAAGCCCTCCTTGAAGTTTTTCTTGCTCACCTCCTACCTTTTCTCCAATACCTGTTTAGGGATTGTTTGAAGAAATACAAATCCCAAGTTTTTGCTCAGTGCAATTTGTTCATATTCAGATGTTTTAATTTTTTTTTAATTAAACAGAATGAGATGGACAGGAATAAAAAACCTACTGCTGTTACCAGGCTCCAGCCAGAACTACGTACAGAAGTACAGTCCTGTAATACAGGTGCAGAACCTCCCAAGAAGGATGCCTTTACTTCTACAGAAGCTTATGAAGAGCTGCTAAATAAGAGATGGCTGGAGGAAGACAGGTATCATGGGTTAGATGATGAGGTTGAATTAAGAAGTCGACTATTAAATAAAAGACTTGATGAAGATTTGGATGTTCCCAATAGAAGACATCGTGGATTTGCTAGCCAATCTGTAATTCCTATTAGGAAGCATCATGGACTTGATGAGGATCATGATTTGGGTAGAAGATACTACAGAATGGACTATGATACTGAGATAAGTGAAGAAGTAGACCCTAGATTGAGATGTGAAAGTGCTTACGACAGAAAACTTCCCCGTGTTTCTTATGCTGAAAGGTATTCTTAATTCTGTTTTCTCCTTTACTTCTGTAGTGCTTGTTGACAGCCATGGTTTGCTCTCACTGAAAATTAGACAAGATTCCCATGTGAAAGCAGGATTTTTATACTTACTTTAAAAAGGAGCTTTGCAATAATTTTTAGAAAAAATATTTTAAAATTGGACCAGTACCTAAGACTATACATCATACACTGGGGAGCACAGGGTGTTTTAGATGAATCATTCAGGAGGAAAACTGATTATGTACTGTTTGTTATTAAATAGTCCTTACTGTGTTAACTGATAAATCTGTTTGGTTACTTTGTCATAAATTGTTAATGTTTTCTGACTCAGTCATTTAAAAGAAAATAAAACCCCCATAACCTTCCCAATCATTCAGGGTTTGGCAGTCTGGCCACCTTCGGTTATTCCAGTGCAAGAACTGATTGCTTTCAGAAACAGATGGGTTGTGGTGTGAAATAATACCAAACTTGAAACGGATGTGTTTTATACAGCTAAACTCAAATGAAATAAAGCAGTAAAGTTTCTTCTAAATAGATTTTTAAAGAGGTGCTCTAAGGGTGTTCATTTGTTCACTCTACAGATCTTGGGAACATGAGTGTTGTAGGTGTGTGGCTTTTTGGGTTTTTTTTTTGTGGTGTTTTTTTTTTTTTTTTAAAGCCTGGTGCTAGAATTATTTTCCTACGGTTGTTCCAGTGAAGGAAACACCACTGGCTTTCCCTTGTTAGGCAAAATAACCACCTTTTTTTCTAGAACTAACACTTCTGGAAAAAACAGAAGACCAATTGTACCACTCTCAACAGCGTTAAATATTACAATCAAGTTTCATTGTTAATTGCTTGTGGACTGGATCTTTTGAGTTGTTTGTAAATTTTGGCATAATTTTCTGGCTAGTGCTGCAGATTAATACCTGGGGAAAAACAAAGCTTAAAATGCTCTAAAATACTGCAGAAGCATTTTCTAAGTTGAACGAAATCATGCTTTTCCAGTTTCAAATGCCAATAGAGTTAAAATAACTTCTCTACAAAAATAGCTTTTGGTATTCTTTTGCAGCCTTTAAAAAAAAAAATCATAAAAGAGTTAAGTAATTATGGAGAAAATGAAATGTCTGGAAGCATTTGGGAGATGCGGACTAAATAAATAGCTTATTTCAGAGTTTCAGGCTAAATTCGGATGTGTTTCTAAAAGCATGTGCTTATTCATACAATGTTTCTGAAAAAGTCTAGCGAATGGAAACAGTGGTTAAATAGATAGCAGGAAAAGGATTGCCCATTTTTTGCTGAATGGAAATCGGAGAAGAGAATGTGAAATACGAAAATTGTTCCATCCTGTAGTGTAATATTGGTAGGAATGAATAAAGGAAGTTTTAATGTAGGGTCGTCTTGTCCTACAACTTTTCAGAAAGTAAAATATCAGAAGCTTGACTTGGTCTAACAAAGATAACTGAAATGTCCTTATTTTTGAGACTAACAGCAATGTTAATCTTCTGTGTTAATTACCACCCAGAAGGAGGGATGTCCTCCTTTCACTGGGTAGCTGTTTGCCACTGTCTAATGCAATTGGTCACAGATTCTAATATTTAAATAGTGATGACCGTTATGTAAAGTTTGAGGATTTACTTTGTTTCTTAAAGAATATATACAGAATTATGTGTGTAAAATATCAGCAAGGATAGTGCTTGAAGTATACTAGTTCTTAGTTATTCCAGAAACCACTGATGGTGCTGATATAAATCTGTGTCATCAATATATCACTAGGCAATTCATTGCTTATTTGGAGAGGCCTCCAAAACAGTTTTAGTTCCAGTTTTCTTTTTAAAAGAAGGTACAGAAGATAGTCTTATCTTTGTTATTGGTAGACTTGGTGCATCTTCTTAAAAGAAGTTGCTGGACTATCACCTGAATTTCCTGAACTTAAATTTGTACATAACATTAATTTTTGAGTGTTTTGGTGTGCATTTTCTGCTTTGGTGAATTTTTATTGAAAATTACTTTACTTTTTTTTTTAAATTAAATGTGCTTTGTAATCTAGTACTTTTTTTCTCCTTCACAAGGAGCTCTGCTTAACCTTTTATGAACTATATTCAGTCTCTCTTCAAGAAGGAGAAGCATCTATTAGTTACTGACAGCTCAGCTTCTGAAGAGTTAGCAATTTTTTTCTACATTTCAGGAAAAGTCAGCTTTTCCAGAACACATTTGATTCATGACAGAATCTAAATTCATAAGGAGGAATATTTTTATTTAACTGAACAAAAGTTTTTGTTTTTTAAATGGGCTTTATTACTTTGGAGAGGCAGGTGTTTGTAACGGGACTTTTCAGAAAGAATTCTGTTTTGATGGAGGCACAAGGACTGTGGCATGTTTCACAAACAGAAATGGTGACAGGAAGGTGAAAGGAAGCGCAAAATGTTTTGGTTCTTGAGAGGAATGCTTTAGTCCAGCTCCAGCAGCCAGGTCTGTCCTATAAATAGGATAGAACAGTTTCTTGATTGAATTGGGCCAACATGTCTGGGACTGCCATGCTAAGCTTGCTGCTTTTTACAAAAAAAGATTGCCCCTTGAATGCCAGGGTTTGTTTCTTTGCTTCCTCCCTGCATCTTTTCATCACACTATGGACTAGGCTTTCTATTTCCAGACTGTGTTTCAGTCTTGCATGGCCAGCCTTCTAAGCAGGAAGTTGATCATTATCAAAAAGACGGTCTTGACCATGAGAGAAGATCATGTTATGCCAAGAGGATGGATATTGTTCTTTCATGTTGTTCTGAGTTGTTAAGATGCCAAATAAATGTTAATAATCTGCTTGCATCCTTTTGCCTTTGGTTATTGGCTTTTACTTAAATTACAGAGAGGGGCAGAGCTGTGCGTCTTTTTACATAAGAGAATAAGATGTGGTATTTTTTCTATGTTTATGTAGTATTTTTTTTGGCTTCCTTAATAGGAAGTCCATGGCTCTGTCCAGCTCTGGAAAATATATAACTTTGTTAGCATCTATTGACAACTTTATTTTTCATTGAATACTTATTTTTATCAAGATAATTTGAAATCCTCATTAAAGAGTAGTTAATTTGCAAGACAGGAAAAGCCTGTAAATCCAGCTACCCCACATCTCTTCAGGAAAAGCTCCCTTGTGTCCATACGTTTTTTTGGCATCTTTGGAATTATTTGAAGTTTCAATTATATTACTTTATATGTAGATGATTCAAATTTTCATTCCTGAATTTTTGTGTTCACAATTTTACCTGTCTTTTATCTTGATCAGAAGTCACCTCTCTGTTTTAAATGGTATCAGGTGCATAGTGAGAGGGAGGTTGTCATTAAAGATGGTTTTTCATATCTGAATTAACTGTTTCACCAGACTTGCCCAACAGCTGTGTGCTGAAATCTGTTGTAGACTTTGTTGGCTCCTGAGGATTAAGGGTAGTGAGATCTGTTTCAAGGAATGCAGTGTGAATGCTGAATGCTCTTCAGCTCTCAAAACTCTTAACCAGGCTCAATAGATAAAGGTTGCATGAAAGCAGGCTTGGCAATAGAAACTGCAGAGAGCGCTGCCTTGATGATCCTAGCAAAGTGAATTATTTCTAGAAACTTTGTGTGATATTTTCAGAACTGGTTCTGCTGTCATGTGGAACCAGGCTGAGGATACATTTGCATGGAAGTGCTGGACCTTCCATTTCAGGTTGGATGTTTTTAGACAAGCATAGCTGAATATTTTCTATTTCTTTAAGGCCCTATCTGGATGGAATAGTAAGAGATCTACCTGCAGATTATGAAGATGAATTAAAGGAGAGGGCACATATGCAGCAGATCTCAAGGAATTCTAGGTGTGGTGTGCAGTGTATTTTTCTTATAATTGCACTACAAAATCATGGTGAGAGGAAATTGTTTATCTGAAATCCCTGATATGTTGTCTGAAATGGCCGATAGTTTTTCCTGCAGTTAGGTTATAGTAGAACAAGAAAAATGTGGTTCCTTTGAGAACCGCTAGGGAACTTTGTATGCCAGTTTCCTTTTTGAAACAATAGATAACCCATTTTCCCACTGAAGACTTTTAATGATCAGAATAACATGAAATCCTTTTTTCATAGTAGTTTTAAAATTCCTTTTTATTTCCTCTTGTCTTGGTTTTGCAAGTCCTGAAGTGATCTAAGTGGATGAGGCAGAAGCAGAACATTTGTAAAGCCTATATATAAACTCTTGACTGGCACTACTTGGTCTGTCAACATTGTTGAAGTGCTCAGCTGAGTCAGTGTTTCTGATGCCTTCAGAAATGGCAGGCAAATGAGAACTGTGAGAAATGCCTTTTTACCAGGCAGTTTCTTCTTTTGCTTATGATACCTCATCGGATTTTAGGAAGGCTGTTTGTCATGAATGTATCACATAGTGATGTAACTGCATCTATTATGTTTCACGCAGACTGCAGGTAAACTCTTGAGTTTGATCTTTCCGTTTTCTCTTTTGTCTTTGTCAGAAATCAGGTACAAATTAGTTCTTCAGCTAATGAACAGGCCAAGTCTGCAGCTGAAATGCCATATGCAACAGGCCTTGTTCTTGGTATGTATAAAAACCTAACTGATGACTCTGAGTTTGCCTTTCTTTGCATATTTTATTTTTCTTTGGGAATAATTAAAAACTAGAAAAAAGTTTTTTCTCTGTGCAGGTTGTCCCCAAGACCGGTAAATAAATATTATTTACATAGAGAAAAATAAAAAAAGGAAACATGTTCCTTTTCCCCCTTAATGTAACAGTGCTTTCTAATTAATTTTGAAGAGCCCAAGTTTCTTCTTAGATTTCATTAACAGTTTAAGGCCCAGATAGATTCTGAAGTTTTTTTAATGAAATGACATATAGGAGAAATATTAACCTCAGTATCGTCAAAGAGATGACTTGGTATTGAATTTTAATTGCAGAAATATGGGATATGGTAGTGTTCACAACCTTCTGCAAGAACAAATGATTCGGATCATTTCTTACTGCTTAAATGTAGCGACAAAGAGAGAAATACTGTTGAAAGCATAGTCTTCCTAGCTAAAGTCAGAAAACTATAAGGCAAGAATAAAACAACTGTAGTAGTTCTTCAGATGAGAGCCTTTGAAGATCAGCTAGCTGATTTGTGGAAAAATTGACTAACAGTTGTCAGAATAACTCCTATTTATTTTTACGTTTGAACTTACCTGGTCTTCAGTGCTATATGTGGCAGGTCAGTTTTTTTGGAACTGTTTAAAGGCAGCATTAAAACAATGGTGTTGTAATGGTCAGTCTCTCTGATCTGCTCAGTCATCTCATTTGTAGTAACTTGAGTACACAAAGTCGTGAATTTGTGTTCCTGGCGGTCCTGGCTAGGAGAAGAATATTGTTAACTACGTTGTATAAAGGTTAAGTGTATTAAAACTTGAAATTTTTGAAATGAGAAGTGATTTTGGACTCCCCCAAAAAATCGCAAACCATGAGGTTATCTTGCACATTTTGGTCACTTTACAGTCCCAGCACAGTAGTTGAATAAAAAATTCAGTCAGTTGTGCATCATGGGTTTTTGTTGTTGTTCTTGTTTTGTTTTGTTTTGTTTTTTTTGTGTGTGTGTTTGTTTCAGTTTCTTTGCAACTTCCTTCACTTTGTGGTTCAGTTCTGCTTCACTGGAGACCCATAGTGGGTTTGTGTATGGAAATATGTTAGGACTCCTAATGTCTGATAGTCACACTATACAGAAAGTGATGATGATGGGTTTTTGTTTTGTTTTTAAAATAATAGAGGACTCCACGCTTACTGTGGGGGAACCATCACAGGTTGGAAGTTTTTTGGGTTCCTTAAAATCCATATGAAATGTTAGCACTCTTTTCTTTTACATATACATATCTGCTAATACTTTGCTAATTCTTAGTAGTCATGGAAACCATGCTAAAAGTGGAGCAATTTGCTTTCCTTCCTGTGGGTCTTCAGTTTTAACTTACATTTTTATCCAGAGCAGTGTCTCGTAATTTTGGAGTAGAGTACCGTAGTGTATCTTCCTTAGTTGAGCATTAGGGGGGAAAAAAAAATACAAAATTTTAGTAACTTTTTTAGTTGCTGTTGTTTCACATGGCTTTGAAATATGCAGCTTCCTGACTATAGAAACCCAGGCAAACTAGGAAAATGAGTATTTTAGTAGTCTTGATCATCATACTTCAAACAAACTGCATATTAAAACTAGGTTTTATTTTTGTCAGTAAAGATCCAATATTCTCATGCACATTCCCAGATCGTATGCTCTGCTGTGTTTCATATTTTAAATTGACTGAAGAGCACTGTTTTTGTCCAGTACCTTTTGTGTGTTTTGTGGGGCATTTACACGAATGTGTGCTCATTTCCATTAGGTGGTCAGAACCCAGAACTTCTCCAAAGGAAAAAAGAGAAATACAGGCAAGAACTTATAGAACAGATGGCTGAGCAACAGCGAAATAAGAGACGGTAATGGAAAGTTACTATATTTTTAAAAGATAATGGCTGAAATATAAAGGAATTTAGTGAATTCGGTGTGGTAAGAATAATTTTCACAACTAAGGAATTCTAGCTAGCTAGGTAGTATTGCATCTAATTAAACTCCTTGGCATGAGAGCTTTTGTTTTTAATAAACAAATTCACCAGCTTTCAATGGAACAAAGAAATAACCAGATTTTTTTATTATTATTTTTTAAAAATGTTTTTCAGGTTCTTAAGGTAAACAAGCTCTAACTGAAGTTATCTTTTTTGCTGGTAGGGAAGTGTCTAATTACTTTGCAGAGTTGAAAATTAATCTTATTTTGCCCTCCAATTTAGGAAGGTAGTCTTTCACTTTCAAAGCAGTTGACCATCTGACTTATGCAGAATAATAAAATACAAATTTCTTGCTTACCTATTAGTAGCTGTCTGCTGAATGATAGTATGGATACATTAAAACACACTGTGATAAGGGATAAGGAATTAAGTTACTGTTGATGGATTCACTGTGATGAAAAGTTGTACATGCTAAACAGGCCTGAGCTGTTGGAATTACAATATACTACTTACTGCTGTACTTTTGAATCATTCATTACAATGTTTATTACAAACTTCTTGCTGTAATGTTAATAAAGATAATTTTTTAAGAAATGTTCTGAAAGGTTGTAGTAAAAAGCAATGTAGTGGTTTGTCCTTTTATGGTAGTTGGATTTTTATACGGTGAAATAAACAATAGCCAGATACTTCTTGAGAGTTCTGTTTCTTTACAAATAATATGCAGTACCCTTCTTCCCTGACTCAGAAGAAATCAAGTGGAATCATGTCTTCTGTTACCCTGTATTTTTGTTTATTTTAACTGCAGAGTTGAGGTCTGTGCTTTGAAAGAATGAGTATATGGTTGTTACTGCTTTCTGATTTGATCCTGTTTTTTTTTTTTTTTTCTTTTTTAAAACAAAAACAGTGAGAAGGAACTTGAGCTCTCAGTTGCTGCTTCTGGAGCTCAAGACCCAGAAAAGAATGTAAGGAACTTGGATTTTTTTTTTTTTTTTCCTTACCTATATAGACTTCTTTTTTATTACATATACACTCTGGTTGCTCTGTCACAAAACTCTGTAGGGCTTTTATAGCGTAATAAATGTGGGTTTTTTCTAATTGTGCATTAGCATAGAATAAAATTGAAGTTAAGGGTGATAAAGCTGTAGCTTATTACACACGCTTTCAGCTTAAGAGGAAAATATTTTCACAGAAGTTATTGAACATTTTCTTTTGCTGTGACCAAGTGGAAATTTTGTACAAGCAGTGGGTATCACAGAAAAAAAGTACTTAGTGTCCAGTGATAGGCTGTACATGCACACATTAATAACCTTTCTTTGGGAATGTAAAGTATGCTGCAGAACGTTTTTATTCTTTTCCAAATAAAAAAACCTCCAAACCAGTTGTTTTGCAGCTGAGTTGATTTCACTGTAGCAATTTTCAATTTCAGATTTGTAATTTTTTTTTAAACTATCAATTGTAGTGTTCAGGATTACAAGCATTTTTACAGGATTTTGTAAGCAGCAAGATGTTTAATGTGTTGCTTGTAAGACTTAATGAAGAGTTACTACTGTCTCCATTTCCTCAGTAAGGTGATTGTTGTACTTTGATTAGCGTATGTGAAGGAGTAGATTGCCAGCACTAGTAAATTTAGTAGCAGGCTGGTTGTCACAGAACTAGTCTGATTTGCATGTGTGTTTGCTGAGTGCAGAAAGCCATTGCATCTTGGGTGCATTAGAGATCTGCTGTTGGAGATACAGGATGGGTAACTTTCTCAAGCAAGAGTAAACTGGCTTTTAATTTAACTGGTTACCAGTTTAAATGATCAATGGTGCTGGTTTTTGAAGGAGGCTACAACACAGAAAGAAACTTGTGCCATTTCTGGAGAGTTGAGCAGATGTGAAAGGTGCTCTTATTTTCTAGAAAATGAAGAGGAGTGAATAGCTGTAAGATGCTGTTAGTCAGCACATGAGGCAGGAGACTGAGAATGTGTGTAGATAAGCAATGAAGCTGAATAAAAATTCTTACTCCTAAATGGGGAGGGAGAACACTGACAAGTGGTCTGGCTGCATGTTCCTGCCCTCTCTGCTTCAAGGATCTGTGATGCCCATTTGATCACTTTTGTGAACGGATTCAGCTTGGTTAGCTGGCCAAAACGGGAATCTTTTTTTGCTGCTTTAGTTGCCTTAGAGAGGTCAGTTGGTTGATCAGGGATTCAGATGGTGAAAGGGGGAGGGATGGAGTGTACAGCTGGGAGCAAGGCAGGAAAAGAGGGAAAACTGAGCAGAGGCACAGCGGGCTGTAAGGGCAGTGTAAACAGTTTTGTCTAATCAAAGCTGACCAGGCAGAAGCATGCTGTGCTGCAGCACTCTATATACCGTAAGTATCTCGGTCAGAGACTGAAAAGTGCCTGTTGTAGAAACAAAATTATATCCAGAGCAAGTCCAGGGCATGTATAGTGTTTTAAAACCATTAATTTAGCTGAAAGCCTTCAATTAAGGAGAATTGCTACATTCATTAAGCATCAGTCACTGTTAGCTTTAAATTGCCTCTTGGGGAGATATTGTAATTAGGTGGATTTCTTGATTAATTACAGGTTGGTTAAATAGCAATGCCTGATTAAGGATCTAGAAATGTAAACTGTGGTACATACTGCTTGTTTAAAATAAAATGATCCCCATGATGAACTGAGTACCATAGTCACATCTGAAATTAGCTACAGAGCTGAAATCTGGGGCACTTGGGGAGCAGTTCATGTTAAACTTGCTAGTAAGAAAGGCTGTTTTAAATGTTTTCCTGCACAAGACACTGGATTTGAAAAGACAAGTTACCAAAAAAGTCTGTAGGCTGCTTTATAATTTTCTCTTGCTGTAGCTCGTATCTAATTTCATATTAACATATAGAAATGTGATGTTAAATGTTATAAACAAATATTCATGTCTAGTAGATTTTGAGAATTTTAACCTTAATGCTGTCGTTTGTGACTGGTGAGTACTAAATGCCTTGTATATACTGTCTTGCAGCTAAGTGAGGAGGAGGTAAACATTTAATATTTTGCTGAAATACTTCTATATTGTAGGGTATATGGTTTGCTTTTATAGAATAGCTGGTTGCTGGTGTTACTTTGCACGTTAATTGAAGCACTACAATGTTAGAACTAGTAAATTCAGAAACAAAATCTGTTTTACTTAGACAATGCATGAATTTTTTTTTGTCTTCTATTGTATTGACTCATTTAAACAAACATTAAAATACTTAAGCATGGCAGCTGGTGTAAGGGCTTTCTGGGTGTGATAGAATAGTTCTGAAACTAACTGACCTGCATGCCTTCGCGTTATTTGCATGTTTCCTTTGACTTTTTTCTGAGGCTGCCAGTTACCAATAAACATTTGATACTTTTATTTTAAAAAGAAAACCCCCAAAATTTTGTAGTTGTTGTGGCTGAAAAATTTAAGAAGATCAAAGGAACTTAAAAAATAAAATATTGGTATTGCAAGGAATTGTTTATTGGAAAAAGTCTTAGTATGTGCTTGTTTTTAGTTTTTACTGATTATGAGCTATTTTCACCTTGGGGCAGCAGGGAGGGATTTCAGAAATTTTTCTTAGACATAATATGAGAATACTGTCTGTGTAGGAAACTGGCAGCTGTAGGTAACCTGGCCTATAGACAACTGTGGAAATATTTTTTCTGGACAATAACTAGAACCATATACTTCCTGAAACCTGCCACAGAGGTTGGTTTTTATAAATCTGTGATAAACATGCTAGATTTATTTGTAGTATTGATTTCCAGTGATTCCTTGGGAGAAAAAAATGCAATTACTGGAAATTTAAACAGCTAGTTGGGACCCAGTGAAGTGTTTAATGCAAGCTGGATGGAGGTTCAGAATATTAGTAATAACAAGGTAACTGTTTTGGTTTCTTTTTTTCTCTCTCTATTATTTTTGTTTTCCCCTTCAGCCAAATAGATTGAAGCAGTTTGGCTTGACAGCGAGAGCTTCTGAAGAGAAAGTACCTCCTGAAAGGCCTAGGGTGGCTTTCCAAACTCCAGTGCCTGTCCCTTCAGCCTCTCCAGTGAATGAAGACTTTCACAGGGGGCTAGCAAGCACTCTTGGTGAAATAGTAGCTCCCAGGTGCTTCACCATCACGTTAATTTTGTGTATTAATTAAGATTGTTGTTAAGCATGTTATTGCTGCTAAGGTGGAACTCGGTGGTCCTATCAGTCTTCCAAGGAACTGATCAAGGTCAAAATAATACTTTGACAATTAACAGAAAACTAAACTACTTTGCACTGAAATAAACTGTGAAGAAATAGACATTAAAAGTCTAATTTGAAAAATCGGGAGAGGCTGGATTATCTGTGAAGACAGCTTTCTCTTAGTGGATGTCAAAAAACCTGTAGATATGGCACTTCAGGACATGGTTTAGTGGGCGTGGTGGTATTAGGTCGACAGCTGGACTTGATGATCTCAGAGGTCTGTTCCAACCTTATGATTCTATGTCTGTGTAGAATAAGGGTCCTACTGTAGAAACGATGCCCGTGCCTGTGGTACTGAACCATTTGCAAGGGTGCTTAGGCCCATGCCTAGCAGTGTCCATAGTGTTGGAAGGCTGGTATGCCATGAGTTAGGCCCTTACCAATTAATCGATCTCAGCTTCCACTAGATGCTGTGACTGAGACTAAACTGTTTAGGAAGAGAGAAGGAGCTTCAGGCATGTGGCTGAAGCTGTGCTGTGCCACTTGCCCTTTGACCAGAGACTAATCCTTGGCTTGTTTTATTTACTGTTACTGAGTTAACCAGTAAGTATCATTAACTGAACCAGTTAAAGAAAGCATGCTTGTTTTATGTTCTTTAGATCTCTGGAATAGTCTGTGTTCATGTAGTACTCCCTAAGGGAAGGTTAATTCCCTATTGGGGCTTATTGTATCTTATTCCTGCATGGCACTAATGAGAGGTCTTGGGCTCAGCTTAATCTTGAATTTTCCTACAGTGAATTCTCTTTCTCTCTCTCTCTCTCTTTTCCCTTTCTTTCTTCTTTTGATAATCTCTTTTCAGTTGTACAACAAAACAAAAAATTGTGTTCCTTTTTTCTCTAAGACTTGCACCAATGCCACCGCCTCCACCACCACTTTTGACAGACAACTATAGAACGCCTTATGATGACGCATATTACTTTTATGGGGTTAGGAATCCTTTGGATCCCAATCTTGCATATTGTAAGTTGATGATTTTAGGTGGATTAGAGTGATTCAGGTGACTGCTTTTAATCTAGTTTAGTGATGAATAGTGTAGAATTAGTAACAGCAATTTAAACCGCTTTCTTAGATGTGTACTGAATGAAAACAGGCTTTTTTTCAACACTGGTTTTGAATGAAGTAATTGTCTCCAACTGCAGAAGGGGCTATGGCTCCCAGAAATCTTGTTCATTGCTTGAACAAGCCCTAATCTCAGCTACTTAGCCATTACTCCTCCCAGATAATTTTCATTATAGTTTTGATAATCAAAACATTATTTTCCAAAATTGCTTAAATCCATATTATAATTGATTACAAGTTTAGTTGTTACAGTTTCAGATATAATTTTAAATGTTTTTAAAGGAACTGTATGAAGTAATCAAACTTTTTATTTTAAGAACTCCTTTTTTTTTTATCTGTTGACTGCCTCATGATGATTTCATGAGTGAAACGACTGTGTGTGCGGGGAGGGACTAGATTGTGTGTTTGGTTTTTTCTTTTCTTTCCTTTTTTAGAGGAAAAAACATAAATACTTTTAAAAAGTTAAAATAAAGGAGAAGAAAAACCTTACAGTAATAAGTCTTTTACTGGTTGATTTGAATGAGATTTGTATTCACTGGATAATTTCAGAAATACTAGAGATTTAATAGCAAAATATTTTAGATTTTTTTTTTCTCTAGTATAAATTACTCCCTAACTTGAAATGTAATCACTTATGATTTGAAAGATTTTTAAGTTCCAGGTGTGTTTTTTACCTTTTCCTTGTAATCTTATTTTCAGACCACAGTTTTAACTCTCAGAAGTTTTGAAGTTTTTTGGGAGTTTGTTTTGTGTGTGTGTGTTGTTTTGTTTTTGTTTTTTTTATATATGTTTTGTTGTTTGGGGTGGTGTTGTTGTGTTTTGTTTTTTTTTCCCCTTGTATCAGTATGACCTCTAGGGTAGAACGGCTTACAGTTTAGGGTATTTAATACTTAAAATTCACATATGAGAGTTAGGTTGTCTTAAAGCTTGTTTTCACAAACTGGAATATTGCTAGTGCTTAAAATTTGAAAGTGTGAAATTGTGTTACGTTAAGTGGGTTATTTCTTTTTGTTAGTTCGTTGTAGATTATGTTAATGAAGACACTTGTACATTTAAAAGGGATTTAGTTGAATTTAAGAAATGGATTTGTACCTTGGCATTGTATGTCTTGCTTTAGAGGCCATTAAGGATTAGCTTAGTTTGTTATAGTAGTTGAGAGTCCTGTTTGTAATTCTGTAGTTACAGGGTTTGAGCAGTAATGAAAAATGTTTGTATCTGAGCATTTAGAATTTAAAACAGTATTTTTTTTTTTTTACTGTGTAGATGGTACAGGTATGATGGGAATGCAACCCACACCTATTCTGGATCCTCCTTTAGGCCAAGCCCCAGTAGAGCAATCTGTGTAAGTATTATTTGTTTGTATTTATCTGTATTGATACCCTCTTCATGTTGGGAGTATTTTGCTGACAATGGATATGCCTTTGAGATAAACGGTGTTAAAGACAACTCTTCAGACTTCTAATTAAGAATTTCTATCTAAACAATAATTTGGTGAACTCCCCATCCCCATTTTTTTTTTTTTTTTTTTTTTTTTAATGGATTTATGAAAATGTTTGAGATTACATGCTTCCAGGCTGTGGAAAACAATAGTTCTTAAATATTTCAGGCAGGGATTATTTATTCATTTAATTAATTCCCTCCCCTCTGGACCCTATGATGTTTTCCTTTTTATATGTGTGGTTTTCTAATTCAGAAGTAACATTGGACAGAGGAATACAGGAGACAGACAAAGAAGCATAGGAGTAATTTCTGAAGAAAAAACAAAGCCTTCCAAAGAGGCAACATTATCTTATCAACAAGAATTACAACAGCAGGTACTGAGTGATAAAGCTTCTGACACTTTCTTTTACTTTTTAACATATGATGGTTGTAACTGTAGTAGTCTTTCAAACATATTTATTTAGTTCACAAGTAAAAAGCTTTAACTCTTCCTCCCTTCATCACTTCCTTCCTCCCATTTCTCTGACCCTGCTTTAGCTCATTTTAGCTCTTCAGGTAGACAGTAAGCTCTTCAATTTTTTTTTTTTTTTTTTTTTGTCAGAGGCAGAGAGAATGTTAAGACTGACAGCAAACAGACAGATTAGTTCCAGGCATGGAGTTTTATATAATTGTTTTCATAAACATAAGAACCTGCATCTTAAAAGCAGTGGGTTGTATTGCTCTGATACTCCTATTGAAAGATTGCTTTTGAACACTATTGCTATAATTATTAGGAACACTCTAATTTCAATCATTTCTTCATATAATACACTAATTGAAAAGCTTCCCTAATGTTTACTTCCAGTGTTCGTAGGTGATGTCTTATCTCTTGTCTAGTCTATCAAAAAGGAAGCTGAAAAGTTTCTTGTCTCCTGTCTTCCAGTAGATGTCCTAGTCCCCTACTCATTTTCATGACCTTTCGCTGCTGCACCTTGTGGGAGTTTCTTTATAAAATGTATTTGACCTGATAAGACATGTTGTTTCAGAAGAGATTTTGCTAGAACCCAGTTTAGTGGCGCTAACTTTTTCTTATCTTATTCTTCTTTATGTATTTCTTCAATGGAGGTAAATAATTGCTATAAAATATTCTAGTTTCAATTATGATTGTACATAGGGATAAAGGAGAGGCTGCCAATCAAGGTCAAACTAAGAATAAAATAAACATTTAGGAGTAGTGTCTGGTATAGCACTAATGCTTCTCTGAAGACATTTTCTCACTATCTTCTTAAGAAGTAAATTTTATCTTGCCATATGAGAGACTGCTCAATTTGGCATAAAGGTCTAATGAACGTGCCGTGATACAGTTTTTCAAAGCTGTTACACTGTTTATGGCTGAAAGCGAACAGAATGTATTCTGCTTTTTTTGCCCTATAGACAAGCCTGACTGGCCATCTTTGTAAACAGTTGAAGGGGCTAGATGCATCTTTGTGTTGACTCATACTGCTTGTGAAATTGTCTGACTACTTGATAAAGGGAAATGTTTATCTAATGCACAGAAGAAACAAACTTGAGAAAAATACATTGATATATTTCAGCTACATAAATAGTAGCTGATGTTTTAAAAGCTCTGAGTGGATGGACTTTTTTGAACAGCTGTTCTCTTTATAAATGCTACATAAAGTTATTAGGAGACTTAGTTATATAAATTTAACCTGATTTGAAGAAAAGGAAGAACAAACCATATGAACAGTTTGCGTTATTTGCGTGCATCATCATGTATTGCTGCAGAAAGCTATTTAATGAATGGTTGTAGAATTGTGTAGCATTCTATTAAGGCATTTATTGTCAGGAGTCTTTCTTTATCTCATGTCATCTCTAGTCTCAGTTTTAATTGAACAACATATACCAGATTGAGAGAAGTGAGCGCTGTAGTATATTTAGTATTTGCGAAATTGTAGAATTTTGCCTGTTTCATTTTCAGCCAGTATGAACTTCTGTATCAAAGATCCAAACATATGGGATTTTTGATCTACTGCAAGTGTCAGATGTGACCATTTCTGGAACTTGGAAGTCTTATAATGTGTATTTGTATGTTTCTCTGGTTATGCACAGCTGGACATGCACGTTTTGACAGTGATATTCAATGCAGTCTGCAGTATGGGCAGTGAAATGTTTGCAGTTGGTTTGATATAGATGGGGGAATGGATAATGATAGCATTCAGCTTGCTCTGTTAACTTTTTATTAAAATTATACTTAATGTGATATTTTTATGCAACTGACTTTGATTTGTTTGTTTTTAGATAAGAGAGAGGGAGGAACGGCGCAGACAAGAGAGAGAGGAGAAGGAACGCTATGAAGCCAAGTTAGAAGCAGAAATGAGGAATTACAACCCCTGGGGAAAAGGTGGTGGTGGTGCTCCCCTCAGAGATGCAAAAGGAAATCTGATAAGTATGTTTGCCAAAATTATGGCTTGTCTTTTCAAGATGGATGTTTTCTTGCTTTTGCAAGGGCTCTATTCAGATATGCTGTTCCTTGTTTTGTAACACTGGTAGCGCTTTATTGACAAATAGATGTACTTGTTTCAAGTAGATGCGCTCTAGGAATATTTAAGTGAGTAATTATTTTGATTTCTGTAGAATTGTTCAATGAGTACAATTTGAACAAAATGGGAAACGCAGGGTATGTCAACTATAAGTGAAGACACAATGCAATAGTAAAGGGAGAAGGGGGAAAACAAGCTGTTAGAATCAACTGCAACACAAATGTGCTAAAGTCTTTTGTGAAGACTTTTATTTAAACATTTTCCAGGAACAGCGTTTTTAATTGTTTTTCTTTTTTCAAGCAATTTCTAAGCTTAGAAAGCTCTGCTTGTGACATGGAATATGAAAGCATATTCGAATAAATATGTAAAGCTAAGTGGGATGTTTAAATGTCCTGAAGTAACACTGCTTGTAAATGGCTATATAAATAGCAGTCAGCAGTAGTGTTTTTTTTCCAAGTGCTGTTTTATACAAGATGGTAGTAGTGAGCTGGGAGATAGCTATGATGTGGGCAATTTGTTCATCTGTCTCTCCAGTAAATCAGAGATAGATGTAAGATTAAAACTCAAATTCCTGATCCTGGTTCCTAGTGAACACTACAGGAATATTTTCTCTAAAATAAAAATAGTACTCAATAGGCAGAATTAGATATGTATATTTAAAAAATCTTGGCCTGTGCTAGCTCTCTTCATTCTTGCCTTTAGCATCTGAGTGAGCAAGCCTTACAATTTTATAACTATTGATTTCTAATTGGAAAAAATGTCTTCTTACTGGAATATGAAGTTGAGTTCTAATTAGATTTTTAAAATATGTCTTCTGGTAATAAAATATGAGACTTTTCAAAGCATGGAACACTTACTGGATAGCAGTTTATATAGAGACAATTAGTTTCAGTTTCATGACACCTGAGTTGACATATAGCTAAACTCAGAGTGTAGTTTGAGGGTAGGGGGTAAAGTTTAAATGCTTTTTGAAGATTGTGTACCCAAATAATAAGTTTAGAAGCTTGTGTTGAGGATCCAAGCTTGTGTTTATCCCCAGAGCAGACAGAGGTGTTCACACTAACTAACTTTAGGCACTACATTTAAGTGTTTGGCTACTTTTCTCAGGCTTTACGATGGTGTGAGTAGAGTGGGTCAAAGGAAAATGTAGCTAGTGGTGTTCCCCAGGGTCAGTACTGGGTCCAGTCTTGTTCAATGTACTCATCAGTGACCTGGATGAAGGGACAGAGTGTACCCTCAGCAAGTTTGCTGACGATACAAAAGTGGGAGGAGTGGCTGACACACCAGCAGGCTGTGCTGCCATTCAACGAGACCTGGACAGGCTGGAGAGCTGGGCGGGGAGGAACCTAATGAGGTTCAATAAGGACAAGTGTAGGGTCCTGCACCTGGGGAGGAATAACCCCATGCACCAGTACAGGTTAGGGGCTGACCTGCTGGAGAGCAGCTCTATGGAGAAGGACCTGGGAATCCTGGTAGACATAAGTTACCCGTGAGCCAGCAATGTGCTCTTGTGACCAAGAA